AAGTTCTAAAGAAATTTCATTGTTTCTAAAATTTAGAGTTTGATATTTAATATTCATAATACAAAGTCTGGATAAAGATTACATTGAGACAGAAGCACAGACATTTAGAGATGTCTGTGTTGATTTCAATTTCTTTTAAAAGAAATAGATTATTCTAAGACATTCTGAAAAATTTTTCTACTTTCTATTAGAAAGTTTATTATAAAGCCTGGTTGCCTGGGAAGTAGTCCGTTTTTGTTTTTGTTTTTTTCCCAACTATTGTGCTGTTCTCTTTCTTTCTCATTTTAGTGGAGGAAATCGAACAGATGAATAGTTTGTTCCAGCAGAAACAGAGGGAGCTCGTTCTGGCTGTGTCAAAAGTGGAGGAACTTAGCAGACAGCTGGAGATGCTCAAGAACGGCAGGATCGACGGCCACCACGACGGCCAGTCCGCCGTGGCCGAGCTTGACCGCCTCTACAGGGAGCTGCAGGTGAGCCACGGCTGTTCACTCAGTGCTGCACAGCCTCCTCCTCCGGAACACAGAGTTGTAGCAGAAAGTGCTAGATTTCAGCTGCTTTTCCTTAAAGGGGGCAGGGGTGTGTGTAAGGAGAACCTAAACACCAGAGAATCTAGAATAAACTTTCTTGTGCCTGAGACAGGAAACCTGAAGCATTCCTCACGACCACAGCTGGTGGTCTAGCACAGACATCACTTAATTTTAAACCATGGATGAGAGGTGTGGACGGGAAGGAGGGACCTTACATTTTTAGAAATTGTGTAATAGTTAACCGTGTGGTTCTCTGTTGGAGAGATTTTTCTTCCTACTCCTTGGCTATGTTTTTTCCCCCCTCCATGTTTTATTCAGTTAAGAAACAAATTGAATCAAGAACAGAATGCCAAGCTACAACAACAGAGAGAGTGTTTGAATAAGCGTAATTCAGAAGTGGCAGTCATGGATAAGCGTGTTAATGAGCTGAGGGACCGGCTTTGGAAGAAGAAGGCAGCTCTACAGCAAAAAGAAAGTCTCCCAGTAAGTGAGCCGTTCGGTAATGGGCGGGGAGGAGGGAAGAAGATGACCAGCCCAGTGAGGCCAGTCGTTTGTAAGCAGCTTCTTCAGCCGTTACTCAGTGCGCCCTCAGAAAACAGAGATGGTGCTTGTGCATCCTCAGAAGCTTTTTACTTTTTGATGTTGTTACCCACGTAGCTCCGTCTTTCTTTCTGATACTTGTAATAAAATGTGAGTGAGGGTTCACTGAGGAGTGTGTTTATTTTGGAATATTTATAGACTCCATGGCTGGATTCTGAAAGTGCTTATTTTAAAAATTATGAAAATTTCACAGCTTTTTCTGAGTTTCATCATCCAGTTTGACTTGTAATAGTAAAGAACCTGTGCTTTTTCCTTAAGGTTTCATCTGATGGAAACCTTCCCCAGCAGGTGGTGTCAGCCCCAAGCCGTGTGGCTGCGGTAGGTCCCTATATCCAGTCCTCTACTATGCCACGGATGCCCTCCAGGCCTGAACTGCTGGTGAAGCCTGCCCTGCCAGACGGTTCCTTGGTGCAGGCTTCAGAGGGGCCGATGAAAATACAGACACTGCCCAATATGAGATCGGGAGCCGCTTCACAAACTAAAGGTAAAAACAGGTCTTTTGTAAGTCCTTACACAGCATAATTCTTTCCCATCCTCACGTTCTTTTTCCCAAGTTTGAGTTTGAAAAAAAAATCTATCCTCGTATTCATTGTTCATGTTTAAATTCTAAAAATTCCTTTGTATTCTCTGCTAGTGCAAGGATAAGCTTTTTTCTAATTTTTTATCGATATATCATAGTTGTACAATGATAAGGTTTTTTAAACCCTAAATAATAAAATTCTGTTCAGGAAATGAAATAATATTTTTGCGAATCTGAAAATTGTTTTAAAAAGTTCCTCCTTGTTACTAAGGACATTTTGATCAGATGTTAATAACTTGAGAACTTTTCTTTTTGTGTAAAAACACCATATATGCAGTGTTAGTGGTATCATCTTTACAAAAAAATGTGAGGTTGTGAATCTATTCTGTTGATGAATGGTGTTAAATATTCCTATGTGCTTATACTTGAGAATTTGCTGATAATGTTTAGAATAAAGGTAAACATATTGGGAGATTAAAAGTGAAAATAGCAGAGGCTGTTTGTGTTAGTCATCTTTGTATTCTGTGTGATCTTCAGATAAATGGGGAGGTACAAGCCAGAGTTTCGTAATGGGAGGAGAAAACAAAAAGAGACTTGTAGGAAAAGCAGGGTAAAACATCCATTAATGACCTTATCCTTCAGACCCTTGGAAGGAAAAAGTAACAGTTGTCTCTTTTCCCTAATCATTGTCATATGCAAGAAATAGCTAATTTTAAAAGTATTCAATATTTTGCCATAATTACTACTGTGGAGTAATAGTGCTGTGTAGTCTGGATTTTATTGTAGAAAGTTACATTTGTTTTGTTTCTTTAAGGAAAAATAAAAAGCACAGCTTTTAAAATTAGTTAAAACCTGAATATACTGATTTGTAAAAGACTGAGGTTGAAGTCATGGCTTAAAAGTCCACATTTTTGCCTTTTTGTTGTGCATGCATCACTGAAGTTATCATTCATAGGATACACCTTAGACCTTTAGGTCTGCAGAGTTGGAACTAGTTTTCTGGCTGTGATGGTGATGTTTTCTAACACTGAAGAATAACGTGTCTTTACTGCTTCTAGCAGACCTTCTATTTGCTATGACTAATTTTAATTGCTTGAGTCAGGTGGGAGAATCTTAAATTAGAAATGTAAAACCTAATACAGTATTTTCTAAGTGAATTTATTAGGATGTTGTAAGTCTGGAATTTAAAGCTGTTTTTAGAGATTAAGAGTCTTAGCAGTAAAATGAACTATTGAAAATCTCTTCAGAATGTTGAGTTATGTGCAGCTGCTTTTCTGCGTTCTAGGCTCCAGAATCCATGCAGCTGGCCCTGAATGGAGCCCTACAAATGCAGATCTTTTCCCGAGCCCAGGCTCTGCTTCTGTACCTCATAGTGCTGGGAATGCTCTAGACCCAGGTGAGGTTTTATCTGTGCTACTCCTGACCATTGTATTTTCGTCATCTAAAAGGTGCTGTGTATTCTTTTTAAAGAGTTCATTTTCTAGTATGTTCAAACTAGTATTTAATTTATTTCCAGAACACCTTCATTTAGCTGGGCAATTATAGTACTGTCATTGTAGTGTTTGGGTTATTTATCAATTTAATTTAAAAATGGGAAAGCACGTAGTAGGTACAGAGTTTCAGAGAGATTTAGGAGAGAGAAACTTTTGAGTGAATAAGAAATATTATTCCAAACAGTTCAAATATCATTGTGATTTTTTTCTGTCTTCAGTTGACGATGGAGAGGTTCCACTGAGGGAGAAGGAGAAGAAAGTGCGTCCCTTTTCCATGTTTGACACAGTGGACCAGGCTGCTGCCCCGCCCTCCTTTGGTACTCTGAGGAAAAACCAGAGTAGTGAGGATATCTTGCGGGATGCTCAGGTACTTAAGCATATCCTGGTTTCTAAAATTTAATAGTCATTCTGTAATGCCATTTTTAGGAGGGATTAAGTATTATATGAGGGAGAGTAGAAGAAACAAGAAGTATCGGGAAGATTGCAAAATATAACAGCGTTATGTTATTTTACTTTCTCATGCTTGAGTCTATTTGTGCTCTCACACCCTATTGGAGAATGGCCGCCATACTTGCTTCTGGGTCATTTTGTGTCTCTCTCTAAAAAGTGTAAATGCATTAAAGAACATCCTATTTGTGCTGTTCAAATATCTTGATTTCTTCAAAACTTGGAGCTGAGGTTATATCAAACAATCTGATGGTGAATCTTCTATAACTGTTAGGATTTTAACCTTTGCTAACCAGGTTATGGGTAAGTGCTCCAAGTTAGGTGTTTTTTACCACAGTGGTCTAGATTGCATGAAGTTCCAGTGCACAAGAATGGTTTTTGTTTATCGGTGCCATCTGTGGATATCGAAGATGGCTGGCAGTTAAAAGTTTTCAAGTGGGTACTTACAGTTGCCCAATAGGAAGTGGAAATGAGAAGGTCACATAGGGAAGGAATTGTATTGCATTAATGAAATCCTGTATTAAATGTGATTAAAAACAGATTTTAATAATTTAAAAATGTAGAGCTAATATTTTTATAGTGTATACTTGTATTTGTGAAATTGGGTTACCTAGACCATCCTATGTACCCAGTTATACAGTGTTTTAACTGACTTTGTATATGTGTGTGTTACAGGCTTCAAATAAAAATGTAGCTAAGGTACCACCTCCTGTTCCTACAAAACCCAAACAGATTAATTTGCCTTATTTTGGACAAACTAATCAGCCACCTTCAGACATTAAGCCAGATGGAACTCCTCAGCAATTGTCAACAACTGTCACATCCATGGGAAATAAACCGAAGCCCGCAGGGCAGCAGCCCAGAGTGCTGCTGTCTCCCAGTGTGCCTTCAGCTGGCCAAGACCAAACCCTTTCTCCAGGCTCAAAGCAAGAAAGTCCACCTGCTGCTGCTGTCCGGCCCTTCACTCCCCAGCCCTCCAAAGACAACCTACTTCCACCCTTTAGAAAACCCCAGACCCTGGCAGCAAGCTCCATATATTCCATGTATACACAGCATCAGGCTCCAGGAAAAAACTTCCAACAGGCCGTGCAGAGTGCGTTGACTAAGACACATACCAGAGGGCCACACTTTTCGAGTGGTAAGGTTCTTCACCTTCACAGGTGGTGTGTTTAAGTCCAATGCCAAAGCTGCCATCTTTCAGCAGACAGCAAAATAACTAGTCCCTATTTGACTGATGTTGTTCTAGGAGTTGTGTTTAATTCTGGCTTCTGTTCTTTATTGGGAGTTTAAAGAGTGCCTGCTTAATGTCAGCTACTGCAGTAGGACTGAAGATAGTAGGTGAATAAGGTGTGGTCTCGGTCTGAAGGAGCTCGTTGGTGAGCAGGAAGGAAACGCACAGGTCATTACAGTTTGGCAGGCTGTGCCTTCACTGTCGGTTTGACCAGCTGTCTTGGCTCATAGAGGGTTGGACAGCTGTCCCTATCTGTATGTTTTCTAAAAAAATAACACTCTCTACTGTATTTTAGGTCATTCTAATGAGGGCAGAGCCACTAGTTAAATGTAAAAACATAATAAGATTAGCTTGTGTTAAACATACACAATCTGGGAATTTGTTGGGTTCTTTCTAAATTACTAGTTTATAGGACTGGAATAAAATAGACCATGTTTTAATTGAATGAAAATGGCTTTTTAGTCATGAAATAAGCATGTAATTGGAACCTAAGATGTCATAACGGGAATTAGACAGCAAAGAATCAATATAAGTGCTACCTCTTACTCCTTCTTTTCATGGGTCTTTGGTGAAAACTGAATAATTTGGGAATTAGATAATTTTGATGTAATCAGAATGTTGGGAGTGGTAAATATAAGTGGTTCTTAATAATTTTATGAGCCAAATGTGATTTCTCACATTAATTCACTTTTGAAAAGTATGAAAGGTGGGATAGTACCTGTTTAGTTGTAATCTGGACACATGGGAGGATTTTTCATTGGTTCTAAATGTTTTTCACATTGTGATGTTTTAAATTCGGATGCTGCAGTCAGTGATTTCTTATAATTGACAACAGTTCTTATTGTTCGCGAGATTATGGTGCATGTTACAGTCAGTGAGGGGTTTGATTCTGTAATAACTTTATTATGCAAAGATGGAACCCTTGCTTTGTCATTTGTTATTTTCCAAAAATTAGTTATATTTGAAGGGCATTATGTAGTAATAGCTATGAAATTAAAAGAGGCTTTAGCTATTGTTAGCTATTTCTGTTACTAGGCCAGTTTTGTTTAATTAATGCTAATCAGGGCTTTTTCCCCCCTTTTCCAATTAGTATATGGCAAGCCTGTGATTGCTACTGCCCAAAATCAGCAGCAGCACCCAGAGAACATTTATTCCAGTAGCCAGGGCAAGCCTGGCAGTCCAGAACCTGACACAGAGCCTGTTTCCTCAGCTCAGGAGAACCATGAAAATGAAAGAATTCCTCGACCACTCAGCCCAACCAAATTATTGCCTTTCTTATCTAATCCTTACCGAAACCAGAGTGATGCTGATTTAGAAGCCCTACGGAAGAAACTGTCTAATGCACCAAGGCCACTAAAGAAACGTAGTTCTATTACAGAGCCCGAAGGTCCTAATGGGCCAAATATTCAGAAACTTTTGTATCAGAGGACCACCATTGCTGCCATGGAGACTATCTCCGTCCCATCGTACCCATCTAAGTCGACTTCAGTGACTGCCAGCTCAGAAAGCCCAACAGAAATCCAGAATCCATATTTACATGTGGAGCCCGAGAAGGAGGTGGTCTCTTTGGCTCCTGAACCATTGTCCCCCGAGGCTGTGGGGAGTGCCAGTACAGAGAACAGTGACATGCCAGCTCCTTCTCCGGGCCTTGATTATGTGCCCGAAGGAGTCCCAGACAACAGCCCAGATCTTCAGCATAGCGTGGAAGAACCAAAGCCAGAGGCTCCCCGTCTCCTCGATGTGTACCTAGAGGAGTACCCTCCATACCCGCCCCCACCATACCCTTCTGGGGAGCCTGAAGGGCCGGGAGAAGACTCGGTGAGCATGTGCCCGCCTGAAATTACCGGGCAGGTCTCTCTGCCTCCTGTAAGTAATGTTCTGTCTCATGGCCATTTTGGGAGTCTTTTACCTAGTTATGGTCTTCTGGGTCGTCACATCCTTCTTCTCCACTTTGCCTTTTTATTTTACAATTCCCTTGGCACAGAGTTGATCTTATAAATGTTATCAAAATATAATATATTCACTATAGAGAACATTTTTGTACTTTACAAAGAACCCATTTCTTTGTGGAGGAAACAGAGTTTTGTTCTTAGCCCTATAAACACCACAGCCTATAAACACCACAGTTGCCGTTTCTTCTCTAGCTGAGGTCATATATTAGGGAAGCATCACTCAATTGGGACTGAAAGGAGCTGGATTTGAAACTTTTGATTACTGGCTTAGCTGTGTGAAGTCAGGCAGATGGTAGAACTTATCATTGGTGATTCCCTTCTTTTTCACAATTTTTCTATCAGTAAAAATTTTTTTTAATGAAACAGGTGAAATCTCAAACTTACAACAGTGTTAAAATTGGAAGGATTCTGGATAAAGTGGGGCCAAGGAGGGGTATCAGGGCAGAAGGTGTGATGGGCACCCCTTTATCATCCCTTTGAAAATCTCTGGCTGACAGGATGACCCCTAAGATTTCTTGGTAGTTTAACAGCAAGTTATTCTAAAACTTTGTATGTTTCAGCTTGAGCAGGTTTTTCACACTCCTTCCAAATACTAAGCTTTTGTTTGAAAGTTTATCTGTCATTTTGAAATAGGTGAGAGAAAATAAAAATCCCAAAATATCTAAATGGCGTCTGCTTTTCCTTAGTTTAATTTGAAGTCATTTTATTTCAGTAAGCACAGCAAGAAGTAGGATGCTGAGCTGTGAATTTAAAACCTGGTCAAATGCAAAATAACATTTTTTGAAGGATTTTTTAAAAATGTACTTTATATCTTTGATCCCTTATTATATCTTTTAGATAATGATAGTGTTCAAAGATATTGATTGTCCAGAGTTATTTTAACTGTTGGTTACAGTAAACACTTACTTACAATTTTTATGCAGTAAACATTTGAAACTAGAAAAAAGTTTTTAAATAGAGGTCAACAGTTTTTAAACAACTCTGTGCCTCCTAAGTTCTCAGGCTTGATTCTCTTCATTTGAGTTTTAAACATGAGAAAAGAAGGAAGTTTTAAGCCATATTGGCCAAAGCCAATCCACACTACAGCTGTTTGTTATTTCTCCTCCTTTTTTGTTGTTGTGTCCAAATAATTCATACTTTGAAGAAGGAAACCAGAGTTTGTAGAAGCGTCATACTTTCTTTTTAAAATTCTGTTATTCTCTTCCTAGCAAAGTAACTTACTTTTTCCTTCTTGTCTTAAGTGAAATAGAAGCCACTGTCTTGTATATTCTTTAAAAATGGCAATGGTAGTGTCACTATACTGCGCTACTTATGAATTATATTACCACATTCATATAAGATTGACACTTCCTTTTTTCAAGGAACAACATTTTAGCCATTGCACAGTGTGAAATATATTGATTGTGACTTAATGTTTTTCAAAACTCTGTACTTTTCCATATCTGAGATAAAATGAAAAAGTATGTGTAATGTATGTATATATCATACCTCAGGAAATGTTTCCACTTTGTTGGATGTATTTAAGAAATCTATCTTATAGGATGTTAAAATTTTGCCCTTTTTTTTTTTGCTTGACTCATTAACACAGTTTAAGACTAGTAAGGTTCTTCCTTGGTATATCTAAGACAGACTAATAATCTGTATTATTTACCTTAATTATATGCTTTCCCCTGAGGAGGCATTACAATGTGAATTGGTTAAGAGGAAGGGCTTCAAGCTTACCTGGATTTGAACTTCAACTCTGCTGGTTTCCTGGCTGTGTGCCTTAGTTCCTTATCTGTAAAACAGGGATCATAGGGCTTTTGTGAGGATTAAATGAATAATCATTCAGTACGTGTTAGCTAATGTAATTCTGAGCTGTGCTGTTGTCCAGTTGAAGAGTGTGGGGTTGGCTTAGTTGATGCTGTAATTATTACCCAAATGAGATTTCATTCGGTTTTATAAAGTTCCTCCCACTTTGCTACATGGCTCTTTACTTTGTGAAAATTCATTAAGCTGCGTGTTTAATTTGTACGCTTTTCTCAATAACGTTATACTTGAATAAAATGTGCTAAAAAATATTTTTAAAGTTCCTTTCACTAACTTAAGCTGAGAAGTTGCTGCTTTGCATTTGTTGTTATCGGTCTCTCTTGCTTAGACCAGGATCCTTAATTTTCCACCCATTCCTTTTGCAGGGCAAAAGGACAAACTTGCGTAAAACCGGCTCAGAGCGTATTGCTCATGGAATGAGGGTGAAATTCAACCCCCTTGCTTTACTTTTAGATTCGTCTTTGGAGGGAGAATTTGACCTTGTACAGAGAATTATTTATGAGGTATGATTATAATTAGTAAATTTGTTAAATATGACCTTGTATTTTGTTTTAGAGCTCTAATTAGAAAGCCACTGTAGAGAAATTGTGTTTTTAAATCATTTTCTTTTTTTGGATTGTGGGTTTTTTGGGGTTTTTTGAGCATGCTCCAGAACAGGCTGTGCTGTTTTAAAGGTGTGATTGTAGCCTTTTGGTAATGCAGAAGCTCAGTTTTCGCTTGGAGTCCTCCAGAGTACTTTTCTCCCTTAAGGAGATCATTTCTGTCCTTTAAAAATTGTTCATATATAGATTTGTACCATACTGTGTTAAGTTGGAGATGCAGTCCCTTCTTTTCAGAAGCCTACTATTTAAAATATTTTTAGTTGACCTTTTTTCCCTTTCCATAGTAAATGTAACTTCTACTTAGAAACTAATTTGTGGTGGAAAGTTGGAAGGATAAACAAAAATGACTATAAGGATATAGTTTCTGGTACTTCTTCAGTTTTTTAAAAATCTTTTTATAGTGACTGCCTACTTAATGTGCTTATTCCGTCTGTCTTACTTCTAGAATTGTTCTTGGTATGGTTTTCTTGGCTCCTATAGGTTTTAATTATGATTTTTAAAAATGTCACAAGAGCCCATTTCTGTTCTCTTGACCCTAACGAGCCAGTTAGCTCTGACAGTTCAGGTGACAAGAAATTGGAGTAATGGTCACCCTTCTTATTGCTGCAGGTCGATGACCCAAGCCTCCCCAATGATGAAGGCATCACCGCGCTTCATAATGCTGTGTGTGCAGGCCACACAGAAATTGTTAAGTTCCTGGTGCAGTTTGGTGTAAATGTAAATGCTGCTGATAGTGACGGATGGTAAGATTTTCTTTTAAGCTCCAGTCAGACTTTAGTTTTAAATTATGATGTGTTATTTTTGTGGAAGAATTAAAAAAATAGACTTTTTCCTATGCAGGATTAAAAAAACCTATAATCACACTATATTTGTATTTTATTTTATTTTATTTTTTTGAGACAGAGTCTCACTATGTTGCCTGGGCTAGAGTGCCGTGGCGTCAGCCTAGCTCACAGCAACCTCAAACTCCTGGGCTCAAGTGATCCTTCCTACCTCAGCCTCCC